AAAAAACATTTAAGCTCAATATCCAGACAAGTTTGAAAACCACTCATTTAAACGGGAAATTTTAAGTTTTTCGAAAACACTAGTGATTTTTCAGTTCCCGCCTCGTCACAATTTAACATGTTCATATTACTAAAGCGTCTAAATAATCACAGGTCATTTTTTAAAAAAAAAAAACAAATCACACAGCAACCAAAAGAGAATCAAACGATTAGGTTAGAGATACCTGTCATGAAGATAATCAAGTCTCTGAAATGATCCTTTCGGTCAGTTGCACTTCACACATTCTCAGGCACTTCTCAAACCATACATAGTGTTGAACAATTTTTCATACTCTTTAGTATTCAGGTTCTGAACTTCTAGGACGTTGTATCAACAAGGACTTCCCACCATTTAGATCCAGACTATCTCTTTTAGAGATATACTCTTATAGATGCAATTTTTCTGCCATCTACAGCGGAGTATTCAGAACCTCTTTTTTTTTGTGTTCTTCAGCCCTTAGACCATCGTATAGAATCTCGTCTCACAACTTAGACCCGAGCAGCTCATTTGTTTACTCATGTCATGAACTTTGTATAGATATCCCTTTCTGTTCTGTTCTTTTTCATTTCTTTCCCCTTTTTTTTTTGTTTTCCATGACAGCGGAGTATCAGAACCTGTATTGAATCTACTATATCAGTGAGATATACCTGAGAAATAGTGAAGCCCTTCTGACCTTCATTTTCATCTCATTGACTTTCACATCTCCTGACCTGTACTCTTTCCTGCACATTTTTCTTCTAAAACGGTGAGAAAAAAATTAGAGCTCCCCCACACTAAGGGATTTTTGTAAACAAACAAACCTGTTCATATTTAGAGGTTTAGTGAATATGTCAACCAATTGTTTCTCAGTAGGAACATACTCAATCATCATGGTTTTCTTCTCAACTTGTTCCCATAGTAAATGATGTTGCACAAAATTCTTTGAGATATTAATGCCACTCATATCATCACATCGTGCAGTAAAAGAGGGTAAGTTGATACCGTAATCGAATAGCATCTGACGCATCCACAGAAGTTGAGTGCAACAGCTTCCCAAGACAATGTATTCTGCTTCGGCAGAAGTACTTCGTCGATCATCAGCATGATCTCCCAAGTCCGCATTACAGAATCCCACCAACTCGCAGCTAGAGTCCTTTGTGTAGTGCAATCCAAATTCCAGAGTTTCTTTCACATACTTACTGATCCGCTTAACCGCATGTTGCGTAGATTCTGTCTTTGAGTTGATCCTAGGAAGAGGGACTCATCTACTCCGATGGTACTTGCACAGAACAAGTAGCAGGTAACAGAACGCTTTCAATTACATAGAACTCTGAAAAAACTGTTCAAAATTTGAAGTCATCATCTGAAATAAATTATCACAGTACTCTTGATACATTTTTCAAACGGGAGCTCATTTTTGTTTGATGTATCTTTTTCTTTATGTTCAATCTAGTGTGCTTTAGTTTGAAACCTTAAGAGATGAAACTGTTGTCTTAATGGAGTTTAGACTAATCTCTATTGACAGATGACAACTACTATTATTTCTACCTAGCTGTGTATATCAAGCTCCTCAAGCATCAATTCGCCGCCATGATCAAAGCAGAAAACAGGAAGATATTGTGTTTCTCATGTTGGATCGATCAGTGGTTGGCATCAGATTTCAAATTAGGAAAATATTTACTTTGTGCTTACACCTGTACTTCTTCTACTGTTCCTGTGATGTTCATGAGACTTGACAGTGCAAAAAGTACGAAGTCTCAAAACTTTTTGGGGATAATGTCATTACCACAGGAATCACATACATTTGTGATGGCAATCAGGCAATATCTATGTCCTTATATATCAAATAAAGTTCATAGCTTTTCACAAACCCCCCAAGCGAGACCAGATGAAAGCTCTGTGGTATGGCCATAAGCATCAATCGCCAAATCATTTTTTTTTAAAAAAGCCCTTCTGACTACTGCTGCCATCCATATTGCTGGTTTCTACCACCGCCCATTGGGTTCTGACCTCTGCCTGAACCAGACCCTCCTCCATACTGACCGCCTTGTGGATAGTTTGGTGGTCCAACCCCATAGCCGCCCCTGGGTGGGGGTCCTCTTCCATAGTACTGGTGGCTAGGTCCGGCAGCTACTTGTGGGGGTGCATTGTTAATGGGATGGTTAGGACCGCCGGGCCAATGTGGAGGCGGATGAGACTGACCTCCACCGTGTTGGATAGGGGGTAACCGATGCTGCTGCTGTGGATGCTGCACTTTCTGCCTTTTCGCAGCTTCCTCATTCTGTCTTTGCTGCTGCCGCTTTTTCTTTGTCTGGAACTCATGGGATGCTTCATATGCCGGTAGACTATTGATACAAAAAAGTAATCGTCCAGTTAAAGAAGAATTCTCGAAATAGACAAGGGGAATATGCAAATGAATCGGGGTTTCAGATGGGTTGACCAACTTGTTCTTGCCAAATGAGGGAATGACACATTACCTCTTTGGATCACATGGCAGAGGATCAGTCCAGAAGTACTCGGCATCAAGAGCGTCCTTTGCTGATATTCTCTGTGCCAGGAAATGGTAAAACCAAAGGATCTCAATGTCAAGAATAATTCGGATCATAATTTGGAGCTCATTGACAAGCTGACTAAATTCCTCAAGTACCTGTGACGGATCAAGCACCAACATTTTCTCCAATAGTTCAAGGGCATGGCGATCAAAGCTGTAAACGAAAGATAAAAGCTCGTTATGAGACCTTGTGGATCATAATATCTGAGTTAGAAAGGCCAGGCATCGACCAAAGTTTTGGTTCACTTACTGTCTGAAGACCTCCCTTACACGGCGTTTCAAGGGCCGTGCTGGTTTGAAATTGTTATACCAAGGCATCTTGGAAACACCGGGCCAATTATTTTCGTCAGGTGATCCACAGAGCTCAAAAATCTTGTTCAGTTGCTCATGCTGGAACAAGGTGTTGAGGAAGAACATACATGTCAGTTTGAGATCAGGAAGCACCACATGATATAGCTTCTACAACGTTTTAAACAAGTTAAGAACGTTCTCGCAACATGAATGGATTATGAATCCTTTTTTCGATATTCAGTTATGCTTTTAAAAATCTCCATTATGCAGGCCGATCCACTTACCTATAGATAGTCATCATTTCTCGGCTACTACTCACTAAAAAAAGCTCTTGAAAGCTTTAACTAATAATCCTACTTCAATGGAATATGTTCAACAGATTTTGAATAGAGAGTAAAAAAAATATAATGCAGCCCAAATACAATGACCAACCAACAAAAACCGTGACACCGGCAACCTTATTTTACCAAGTATAACTAATTATGCATCACGCTGCTTGGGTACTACCAGCAGGAACTTTCAAAAGAACATATTTTACTACATGCATATGCAAAATCCTGACCTCATTTTTCCCCGGCAAGATTGGTTTCCCATGCAGAAGTTCGGCAAAGATGCAACCTACTGACCACATGTCAATAGCCGGGCCATACTTTGTGGCACCAAGTAGCAATTCAGGGGGTCTGCAACAATAAAGTTTACGCTCGGTCAAGAAAAATATAACTCATAACTTGGTGGTAGAAGAGCTGACCGAGAAGCATGCCCGGCATTTAACTTTTAACTCATTGTTGTTGAAACTGTACCTGTACCACAAAGTGATGACGCGGTTTGTTAGGTTTCCGGTATGATCATGAGAAAATGACCGTGCAAGCCCAAAATCAGCAAGTTTTAAATTTCCCTCGTTGTCAATAAGAAGGTTTGAACCTGCGGGGAAAGTTTTGGTCAACAAGAAGAAGCAAAGTTGAAGAAAAAACCTAAACTACCAATTTGAGAATGTCACCTTTAATATCACGGTGAAGTACTTGATTAACATGACAATAATGAAGCCCAGTGAGCAGTTGCTTCATGTAACACTTTTTAAGGCTGAATGTCAGACAAGGTCGAACAATAGGGTATGCAAAGGATTATATGCATAACAAGCTCCCTATCAATGAAATACCTTGATCTGGGGAACTGTAAATCTCAGACCGGGACGATCAGCAAGTCCCGTCAAATCGTGATCCATGTACTCAAAAACCATGTAGATCCCACCTTTGTATTTGTTATTATCTACAATTCCAACGACAGCAAATTTAACCTACCATTTTGGGAGCACAGATACAATTGAGAATATCCCGGGTTCACTGCTACTATACTATAGGTAAGAAGTCATCTAACCTGGCTTCCCTTGCTCATCTCTGTCCCGACCTTATAAGAGAGAACAATTTGCAAAGAAACAAAGAATCAAATACCGAGCTTCTTTAAGGATATATCTGAATTGTCTAACACCTGAGAGAAGTAACTTCTGTACCTGGAGAAGTTACAATCTCTTTCAGCTTAATGACATTTTCATGATGAAGCTTCTTGAGAATCTTTATCTCCCGAATAGCTGTTATAGGAAACTGCACGCCAATCGCAATAAGGGTTTTAGCCGTTGCATAATGCCACACCTCATAAAACACTTGGTTGATCGATAGCGATTTGAAAGGAACATACCCCCTCTCGTTCATTGTCCATACGGATCTTTTTCAGAGCCACTATTTCACCAGTTTTGATTTCCTTGGCCATGTACACTTGACTGCAAGAACAAACAGGTAAACAAATAGATTCAAAAGGACAGCTTCCACACTTCAGAAACCCTAACTTGGAATCAGTAGAAGAAGAAAATCATGCTCAATCAAATATGGCAAAGCAACAGTTCAATAATCTACCCAACCATACGCTAACTATACATAAACCTTAAAAATCTGAAGAACGTTTATTAGGAATACCCATATCTTCAAAGAATTAAAATTTCGCAAACGATTTTTCGAAAGGACATATACTAAACCAGCCGAACCGAAACCCTCGTAGAAAATCCACGAAACAACAGCTCTCGAATAAGAATTACGCGACGAACAATCCCGAAATTGACGATGCGCGAATACCCAAAATCCAAATCACTTAACTGTCGACCCCTACTGAATTTTCCCTTCTCTCTCTCTCTCGCAGAATTTCTCAGACAATGTTTTCGTCCGCTCCTGGCATATTGATATTGTCTTTAAATTGGCGTCGGTTTAAGCCGAAACCTAAAAGGAGACGACTTTGTCCGGTTTAAACCGGGGCCTAAAAGGAAAAGACTTTGTCCGGTTTAACCAGGTTCTTTCCGGTTTACTGTAGGTACGACACAACTAACCATTGCAAAACTAAATATTTATATGGACATTAAATATCATCGAGCCTTTATATCATGGTTACATTTATTTATATTATTTCCTCGGTTATCAGATTCCTGTGAATTATACAGTCAATTTAAAAAATTGAAATTGTTTAAATAATATATAAATTTAGTCATTTTCTCACAAGTATCTTAATGGAGTAAAAACATTTCAATTTTCAAGTAAATCTAGCAACAGTAATTCCAGAGGAAAAAAAATACCAAAGCATCACAACCATTTACACGTGTTGCCTTCTATTCTTCATCACTGCAAAACTGAAAATACTAACACTCCTACTCCCGTTAAAAAAAACAAACCCTACCTTTTAGTGTTCAAGAAGAAGAGACCAAAGTGTTATGAAGAAACAAGTAGCAGTAGGCAAAGTTCATCAATCCGAATGGCTAGAACTTGTACGCTCGTAGAACAAGATGTAGCCGTGGTCCGTATTACTCGAGTACTCCTGGGCCGACCCGAAAAACGTCTGGACGGCCGACTCGTCGATCATCTCGACGTTCTCGTCGTCGAAGAATAACCAATGGTTGTGGCTCTTGACGAGGCTGACGTAGTGGCCGTGGTTCGGGCCACTTCCCACATGGACCACGACCGCGAAGAGGGAGTATTCGGCATCCACTTCTTCGGATGTGCTACTGAGCTTCAGCTCTAACGGGAAGACGACTCGGTACGACAGCTTCTTGTACCGACCGAGCTGTTCCATGTATTTGAACCGTTTCAAGTGGATCACTAGAACTTGTGGTGGCTTCTTTATCCTCATCCTTTTCTGGGCTTCTTGCAAACTGTGGGAGAGAGAGAGAATGGTTTCAGCCATTCACAAAAAAAAAAAAGAAGTTGTGAGGTATGAGGAGATGCCTGCCTTACCTGCAACACTTGTCGCAGAAGAATTTGTCTTCTGCATTCAAAGTCTCGGTGGAACTGAAGTTCTTCAGACAACTTGTGATCGAGCTGTTCTGTTCAATGTCAAGGCTGAGATCGAAGAAAGTTTCGTCCCTTGCTGTAACTGTTTCACATCGTAAGCACCTTGTTTCGTTCGTGAGTATCCCCTGATTCAAGTTACCATTAAAAAACCAACCTGTGAGATTGGCAAGAACTTTCTTGTCCTAATTTTACAGAGATCATGTCCTAAGGATCCATTTCCAAGATGGCAACAAAAATTTATTCTTCAAACTAACCGAGTGAAGAATGGAATAACAGATCTAAAATATATATTTCAGGGAAATCACCTGGAAATTTTTGTGCACCCAGGTCACCAAGGGTTCTTTCTCAGCAGCAATGTCTGTCTCAGGAGTGTTTGATCCATTGGCAGCCATTTCAGATAGGGAGGAAGCCTCTTCTTTGTCAATTTTGGAAGGCTGGGGCTCTTTCTCCAAAATGTCGACAAGTTTGTTTAGCAAAAAGTTCAAAAATTCATGAGCATCCTGCAACAGAACAAATGATTTCCCATGAACCTCTTTTTTCTCATACAATATCATCTCATACTTTCTTCCGCCTGTCCCTCATTAAGCACAAGACAGTCAATTCTCAGCAACAAGTACCTGATGCATAAAGCCACGGAAAAGCTCGTTTTCCTTCTTCAGCCTATGTATAAAGTGCTTAGGCGCAATAACTCCTGTTTTCTTCTTCTGTGAGCTTATCTGCACAAAGATGACAGTAACATGCTACTGTATGACCCAAAAGATTTATAGCCCTAGGAGCATGTTTCTCAAAAATGAATAAATAGAAGACTGCACATACAACAGTACGTTACTCACTGGACCAAGAAAATATTATATTCATAGAACTCATAAAAAAAGTGGGATTCCGAGGCAGGAAAGCAGAAATATTCAGTCAAACAACAGAAAGGTGCTTCCGAAAAATGAAACTTGAATGAAAGAAAGCCCATCAATAACATCACAGCAGACTTTGCAACGGGCAACTTACCTGAGAAAATAAGTCAGCTAAGCACGTCAGAAGAGTTTCCTCAGCCTCCCTTGTAGTTTTGTTATTAGCATAATATTCAAGCAATTGCTCACGAAATGGGACACAAAAGTAAAGTGCCTGCAAAAGGATAGAACAAGATAAGGGATTGAAAGGTAAAGCTAAAACTAAACACTCATGAAAACCGTTACATGATAACATAGAAAGAGTATACACGCCAAAGCTTTCTTCCAGACTAATAGCAACAATTGCTTAACTGGTTATTGAATGCAATCCCCTTTCAAGATTAACTTTCCTTTACGGTCTATACAAGTTCCAGAGCGCATTCTGTAACAACACGAACCAGAGAACGTATCAAATTCTCGAATGCACGGATAAGAAATGTCTACAAGTACCAAGCCAAGCTAAACAATCACGGGTTGTACCTAAACCCTACAGCCAAAATCAAACACACACGATCAAATTATCCCCACAACAACATGAGAGCATCTAATCACTAAACATTGCAGATCTCCCATAACCCGATAACGAAACCCTATCACGTATTTTCTTTCCAAATCTTCCCACAATCCAAAAGTTGATGTAATTAACCACAACCAATGCATCGCTGAAGCAAGAGATCCGGTCAAAACAACGAGAAACATATGATTTAATCAAAAACAGAAACGAACCCCTGGAAATTAGAATCGAACCTGGAGAACACTGTTGCAATAACATGTGTTGCCGAAATTCTCGAGGCCGAAGTATCGTTCGCCTTCGGGAAACTGATCGCCCAGAGCTTTCTCGAGTTTGGAGCCCCCCGCACCCATCACGATCCTCACCGCCGCCGAGTCAGAGATCTCAACTCGTCCGATTCAACCCAACGATTCCGTAAAGAGCCCGTGTGCAACGTGCCGGAAACTCTCCGCCCGAAGTGTTTCAATCCATTGCTTAAGGGGGTAAAAGAACAAGAGGAGGCGGTTATATAAATATTTCTACCGAAGAGGGGGTAGATTTTTAACAAATAAAATAATGGGAATTTACGTGGCAATAGTAAAACTTAAAAGGTCATATTGAAAATAACAATATTTATGGGGTTACATATTAAGTTTTGAAACCTATAGGTCATATTCATAATATAATCTAAATAACGGGGCAAACGGAGATAATAATGCCCTTATCCATGGATTTCTTCTCATTTCTTCATTATCCTCAGAATTGTGGGCAGAGACCCTCTCTCACTCGGAAATCGCCGTGCCAGAAGCAAAACGCCATGCTCAGTTTCTCTATTGCTCCGCCTAGTATGGCAGCGGTTTTCCCTCGGGGATCTGTCTCCGGGACCTCGACCTCGTCTTCCTTCCATGGCGTCAGAATACGGCACGCGGTTCCTGTCCGAGTTCCGGCAGCTACAATTTCGTCTCGTAAATCCTCGGCTACGGTGGTGATGATGGCGAAAAGAGAAGAAGAGCTGAAAGCGATAAGAGCCAAGACGACGGACGAGATAAACGAGGAAGTTGTCGACCTCAAGGGAGAGCTGTTCATGCTCCGCCTCCAGAAATCCGCGAGGAACGAGTTTAAATCGAGCGAGTTTCGCCGAATGCGCAAACGAGTAAACTTTCTTCTGATGCATCTTCCTTTGATTTTTGTCTGTCGTGAAAAATTAGTGGCGATTTATGGCACATTGCTTGGAAATTAGGAATGATTTCGTTGGATTTATATTTATCTGTGTTAATTTTGTTTCACTGTTCAGAAGGATGTGCTCCTGAAATTGGAGCATACAAAAAAACATCAGTAGAATGGAAACTTTGGGATTTAACCTAACTTGAACTGTTGCCTGAAAATAGTTTATCCTTTGCTCGGTTAGTGGAATTGTTTTATCAGGATGATCGAGGGCTTCTTTGGGGAATGACACTAACTGCCAATTGGGACAGATATGGATGGACCTTGAATCTTGAAGATGATGTTAGAAATCTGACAGGAGAACAGTTATGCGGAATGTTGTCTTACTTTTAAGAAGTTGGAATTGGATTAGTGGTTAGAGTTACCTTAGTATGTAACTGAGGTCTACAAGTTGTGTCATGAGTCTGGTCCTTGGATAGTGGCAGATTCAGGCAGCTTCTGCTCTTATGGTTCTTGTACGGAACTGGTTTCACTTGATCTTGAGCTGACAGTGGCGGTGAAAGTGTGAAGAAATCTTGGGTTCTTTGAAAAACCCACATTGCAGTTAATGTACTCGTGAAGGTTAACTCCCATAGATCGGTAGCCATGAAAATATTAGATTGGCTGATGCATGACGAAGTAAGGCTATATGAAAAAACATGTTACTTCCCCTCCTAGGAAGCAGCATTCAGATACATCTTTTCAATTTCTATTTCCTCATTCTAAAGATGATGTTCATTTTGCTCATGGGTATTAGGTTGCCCGAATGCTGACGGTGAAAAGGGAACGGGAGATAGAGGAAGGGGTCGGGAAGAGGTTGTCGAGGAAGCTTGATAGGCAATGGAAGAAAAGCATTGTAGTGAGACCGCCACCGTCACTGAAGAAGCTGCAAGAGGAAGAAGCAGCAGCTGAAGAGGCTGAGAAATCTGCTTGAACTCAGGCTTTCGATGCTTTTTTACATCCTTTATTTCTTAAACTTGCATCTTTGCTCCTATATCATATTTGTTTTTCTGGTGTTAAATGCTTTTCTAGCTTGTAATCCGTCTCTATTTGGTGACATTCATATGTTGTATTTTGTGATTTTTTTTCCGTTATCTTCCGGTTCCATTATTTCCGCTATCAATTTTATCATTTGCGGTACTATGTATATGTTCTTGTTAAAAGTTGTGTATACACACACATAGGGTGTCAGTCGGGCCGACCCGCCCCGAGCTGTATTCGGTCCGAAGGTTTCGGTTTCGGATCGGTCCGATTTTTTTCAGACCTATATAACTAAGTACGAAATCCGGACTTTTATATTCCGGTTCTGGTCGGACCAACCTACATAATTTCTTTTGTAAATATCTTTTTTTTTTCTTTTTTTAATTTTTTTAAAAATATCAACCTTCCGGGCTGGTCTGAATCGGGTTTGAAACCTGGTTTGAGTCCGATCCGAAAATCTGATTTTTTTTTCGAATAAAAAAACTTAGATCCAAAATCCTCTAATTTTTGGATTGGGCTGGACCGGGTTTCGGATCTGGGCCTAAATTGACATCCATATACACATACGGTCCATCGTAGATATGCATCAACGGTTTCTAGTGATCATTTTGTGGAGAAAGACTAAAGAAAAAAAACTGTACGGAGGAAAATGGCCCCCCAAACTGACCATTTATCTACAAAACGTTACGTTTTGGGCCTATGTGCCTTATACGGCCCATAATAAAGAAACCCCCCCACCCCCAAGAAAATAATTAGTGATTAATTTAATAAACCTCGAGAACAGAGTACAGAGGGCATGCGATCTCGTCATGTCATTCTTATCTTATTTGTCTCCTTATTTTTTTATTATCCCCAAATAAAATAATTAGCAATTAATTTAATAATATCTCATTTGAATCAATCGTCGTGACTCCGGTCCACAAAACATTAAATTACATATTATGTCAAAAATGATGTCTTCATCGTATCATTAGTTTGGAAGCTTCGTTTTGTATATTATAATGTTTATTCGAGACGATGCCACGTGGACGTTGACGATTACGCGCTTTGTATCCTCTTCCTGCTTCCCTTGGCATTTGGAGTGGAGAAACTGAAACTGCTCCACCTTCGTTGACTTCTCTGTATCTTCCCCCACACCGGAAAATATGGCTAACCCCAGCGAAACTTATGACACCTCGCCGGAATTTTCTGTTACCGGCGATTACTCCGGCTTCTGCGATCCTCTCCGGCGTCTAGATACGGTCCGGATGCGGATGGATTCGCTGCAGAGCTTCCTTGCGGAAACCGTCAACGGAAATATCATCCTCCGCAGGGATCAGATGGACGTAATATCGTCGGAGATTTCGGCAGCGATAGAACAGGTCGTCGTCAATGGCTCTGCTCTTCTATCATGTTTACAGCAGCCTCCACCACCTCCGGAAGCGCCGGCGATGCCGCCTGGACAGGATCCGAGTCACGTGTTCCGGATTCCGAACCCTAGCGAGAAACAGGGCCACGAAAATCTGGATGACTACGACGTGATTGAGCTCGACGCGGTGGAGATTCTGGCGGAGCACGTCCATTTCTGTGAGATTTGTGGCAAAGGATTCAAGCGCGACGCGAATCTGCGGATGCATATGCGCGCCCACGGTGACCAGTACAAAACCACGGAAGCGCTGTCGAAGCCGAGGACGCCGACGGAGGTGCTGCCACATGATTCGACTGCCGGTCACCGGAAAATTCTGTTCTCGTGCCCGCACGAAGGCTGCAACAGGAACCAGAGACACAAGCGATTCCGGCCATTGAAATCAGTGATCTGTGTCAGGAATCATTTCAAGAGAAGCCACTGCCCGAAGCTCTTCCCATGCCACCGTTGCCAGAAGAAGAGCTTCTCCGTCCTCGCAGATCTGAAAAGCCACCAGAAACACTGCGGCGAGCCAACGGCCGCCTCCACCGCGCGATGGCGGTGCTCGTGCGGCCCGAGCTTCACGAGGAAGGACAAGCTGTTCGGACACGTGGCGAACTTCGAAGGACACATGCCGGCCGTTACAGTGGGGTCAGTAGCCATGGAAATGAACACGACGGAGGAACGAGGAGACGAGACAGTGAAGGAAGAGGAAGGAGTTGGGTCGGATCGGAGTAGAGATGACGGGTTTTTCGAGGACTGGCTCGACGGATTATATCCAATGCAGGACTTCTGCGTTGAGGATATTCTGAGATCTCCCGTTGGGTTCGCATGAGAAAAAAAAGGTATTCATGAATTTCAGATCTTTACATTTCCGTGAGAAACACAAGTATAGGATTTTGTTCCAATCTATTGTTTATGGTCCCCTTTCGAATTCAGATTCCATTCTTGCTCTTCCGGCTGATACAATTCTTGTTCTTCCTTGGATGATTTATTCATTGATTATACAATTTGAGTTTAAAATCATATATTTTTTTTTTTGTTGCAAATTTTCCGACTTTGAATTCCCCAGAAAAGCTACAAAGAATACAACTTTGATTGTCCCTTTCGAACCCATTCACAATCCGTCAAATCCCAAAAACAAAAAGCAACTTCAAGAGATCGTGCATGATGCAAAAGAATACACTTGATTCTTCTTCTTCTACGGCCAGAGAAAAGTATTAACACATGTACAAGGGTATATGAGTCTTTGACTATTTCCGTATTAGGGTTTGTCTACGTATGTATATAAATAGACATGTTAATGAATGAGAACAGCAGGGAATTACGTTCATGTTGGTTACGTGACGTGACATGGTATCAGAGCATACCCAGGGTTAAGGTTTTTCAGGTTTTGGCTTCTCTCTTTTTGATTTTTTCGTGTTCTTCATCATGTCTGGTGCTTCCGATGAGTCCGTGTCGAGCCCACCGGAGCACGGGCTGTCGAACACGGCGCAAGTTCACGTGCAACGGCGCACGATATCTCCGTATGATATCACCGCCAATGATAATCCCGGTAATTTAATCTCTCATACGTTGTTGAAGGAACACAATTACAGTGATTGGTCTCGGGATATTCGTACGGCTTTACGATCGAGAAAGAAATTTGGGTTCGTTGATGGCTCGATTCCTAGACCCTCCCCGGATTCGGAGGACTTGGATGATTGGTGGACTATCAACTCCCTTATCGTGTCATGGATACGAAACACGATCGATGCTTCCCTTCGTCCGAACATCCCGAGTACCGAAGTTGCTGCAGATCTGTGGACTGAGCTGGCAACCCAATTTTCGGCATCCAATGGCGCTCGGATGCAGTCCCTAAAGTCTGAACTCGCTAGCTGTCGTCAACATGGTATGTCTGTGGCTACGTATTTCGGCAAGTTACGGAAGTTGTGGGATGAGATCGCATTATACGAAAAGATTCCGACGTGTTCGTGCGGCGGCTGTCAGTGTCGCCTATCCGACATCCTGTTTAAACAACGGGAAGAAGATAAAACTCATCAATTTTTGCTCGGACTTGATGATACTATCTTTGGTACGGTATCTTCGAGTCTGCTGTCGCAAACCCCTCTTCCGTCGCTAGCCAGTGTGTACTCCACAGTACAGCAGGAGGAATCCAAACGTGCGGCGATCAGGGCTAAGGAAGACCGTTCAGATGTCATGGCATTGTCTGTCCAACCGGATTTCCAAGCACGTGTTCGGTCTGATTCCAAGGATAAATCGTCTTCTTGCACGCACTGTGGCCGTGCTGGTCACTCCGTTGACTCCTGCTTTGAGATTCACGGGTTTCCAGATTGGTGGTCCGAGCGTGGCGGTCGTGGCAAGCATGCTCGAGGTCGTGGCGGTCGGAATTCAGGACGTGGACGTGGTCAATCTGTTCGTGCAAATGCTGCCCAAACTTCCGCTACAGGGCCTCAGCCGAAACAAAGTCATCTTGCCTCGGATCCGGGTAGTCTCGGCCTGTCTGGTATTACTCCTGATCAATGGAAGACGCTAGTTGAGCTTGTGAATGCGACGCGAGTCGGGCCTACAGACACTACTTCAGGTATACCTTTGTTTGGTTCATGGATTATTGATTCTGGGGCTGGAAATCACATGACGGGTCAGTTGCATTTGTTGTCCGATGTCTCTTCGATGCCTCCTTGTGATGTAGGTTTGCCAGACGACAAGCATGTTTCGTCGGTTCAGACGGGAACCGTATGGTTGACAGATCAGTTCTCGATCCGCAATGTATTTTTTGTTCCTGGATTGACATGTAACTTGATTTCCGTGGCTCAGTTGCTTGCCGATTCTGATTGTGTTGTTCAGTTTACTCATCAGATGTGTGTAATTCAGGAGCGGCTTTCGAAGACGCTGATTGGAGTGGGTGAGCAACGTAATGGCCTTTACTATCTTCGGGGATTTGTGTCTGCAGCGGCGATTCACAGCAAGAATTCTGCGACATTCGAGTTGTGGCACCGTCGTTTGGGTCATCCATCTCCTAGTATTACGTCATTAGTTTCTGGTTTTGGTGTTTCAAGTTTTGATTGTTCCGTTAATAAGGCTTGTGACGTTTGTCTCCGAGCCAAACAAACTCGTTCCTCGTTCCCTTTGAGCAGTAATAAGACCAATCAGATTTTTCAGCTTGTGCATTGTGATATTTGGGGTCCTTATCGCTCTCCCTCGTTCTCTGGTGCTCGTTATTTTTTGACAGTGGTTGATGATTTTTCTCGCTCGGTTTGGCTCTACTTACTGAAAGTTAAATCCGAGGCAGCACATTATCTTCGCACGTTCATTGCTATGGTAGAACGTCAATTTCATGTTCAAGTAAAAACCGTTCGCAGTGATAATGGTTCTGAATTTGTCAGCATGTCGTCGTATTTTGACTCATTCGGTATTATCCATGAGACATCGTGTGTAGGAACACCGCAACAAAATGGTCGTGTGGAACGAAAACATCGTCACATTCTCAATGTGGCACGTGCACTCCGTTTCCAATCCTCGCTCCCTATCGAATTTTGGGGAGAATGCATTCTTACGGCAGCTTATTTGATAAATCACACTCCGTCTTCCTCACTCCACGGCAAGACACCGTATGAGATTTTACATGGTCGGTCGTGTGATTTATCTCACCTCCGGGTGTTTGGTTGCTTATGTTACGTGCATGTGCAGCGTCATCATGGCGACAAGTTTGCTAGCCGAAGTACGAAGTGTGTGTTTGTCGGCTATCCGTATGGCAAGAAGGGCTGGCGTGTTTATGATCTAGATCGGGCCACATTTATTGTCTCCCGTGATGTGGTGTTTGCTGAAGACCTATTTCCGTACTCGTCGATGGTGGAACCTTTGCTTGTTCCTCAACCTGATGTTACCACCTCCTTGTTTTTGGAGAGTGATCTACCTGCTAGATCCCGAAGCCTTTGTCGGGACGATGGTTCTTCAGGACCGCGGGCCGTTCCGGTTCCTAGACCATCAACATTTGACTCTTCTCCGCCTGCTGCCTCAAGTCCTCTCTCCTCGAAATTGGTGACCGACGACAGGGGGGGCCTGAATCGTTCTTCTCCAGACCCACCGTTATGTTCCGAGGTTGCTCTTCGTCGAAGTTCCCGTCCCCGACAACAGCCTGCAGTCTTCCGCGACTACGTCCTCAACACGGTTTATGTTGGGGGTCCGTTTCCGTTGTCCCAGCCAGCTCAACCCGAGTTGCGATCTCGGTATCCATTGCACCGCACACTGTCCTCGACCCGTCTCTCTCCGGCTTATCGTGTTTTCCTTGCTGCTGTTACCACTGACAAGGAACCCACCTCGTTTGCCACAGCTATTCAGGATCCTCGTTGGAGGCATGCCATGCAACAGGAACTTGATGCACTTCGTCGCAACGGAACTTGGACGCTTGAATCGTTACCCCCGGATAAGAAAGCCATAGGATGCAAATGGATATATAAAATCAAGTACCGCTCGGATGGATCGGTTGAACGATACAAAGCACGTCTTGTTGTTTTGGGGAACAGACAAGTTGAGGGCGTTGATTACACTGAGACCTTTGCCCCGGTAGCCAAGATGACCACGGTTCGGACTTTTCTTGCGGTGGCCGCTGCCCGTCATTGGGAAGTTCATCAAATGGACGTCCACAATGCATTCTTGCATGGCGATCTCTCCGAAGAAGTGTACATGAAGCCACCACCGGGGCTCGGTAATTCCCCGAACGGGCGTGTGTGTCACCTTCGGAAGTCCTTATACGGCCTTAAGCAGGCTCCAAGGTGTTGGTTTCATAAACTTGACCGGGCCCTACAGACATTCGGTTTTACGCGATCATACTAAAAAAAAAACAAAGTACAGTTTGAAACCAACAAAAAATCGTTTCATTTTCGAATTAAGTAATTAATGGATGCGATTGTAACAATTTATTTATTATTATTGGCTGAAATATTAAAGGGCCGAAATTAAAGACGATCGAAAGGACCGAACACGAGAGAGGGTGTCGTGAATTAACGAGAAGCACATAATACTTGTGTCTCGTAAGACGATAGACTGTCTTTATCATAAAAAAAAAAAATTGTAAGAGGGAAAAAAAAAAGTTCTGAGATCCATTAAACGACACCGTATCAAACACATCCAAGCACCCCCTCCTCCACCTTTCATTTTTTTATATTTATATATAAATCCCAGAAGAGGGAAAATCTCTGGGGAGAGTGGAAAAGCGAGCAGGGGCACAAAAAGAAAATACTTGATTCGGAGGTAATAAATTTGAAAACTTTTGAAATTCCTCCGCTCTGAATCGGAAGTTGTTGCTCCAGATTCCGGTGGGTTTTGCTTAGAAGTTGGATACGATTTAGGGCTTTTCGATGAGATGGCGGAGCAGAGGAGCAACGGCAGGTGGAACTGGGAGGTGAGTGGGTTCGAGACCAGGAAGTTATCTTCTTCGACCGCTTCGTCGTTCGAGGAGGGCGATCACCGGCCGGATTTTCTCGAGAAAGAGAGAGAAATCCAGGATCTGAAACAAGAAATCGTGGGTTTAAGACAAGAACTCAAAGAAGCGAATGATCAATGTGTTTTGCTCTACGATGAAGTTCAGAAGGCGTGGAAAGTTTCATTTACACTGCAATCAGATCTCAAGGTGTATAGCTTCAGCCCTCCTTTTCTTTTTATGTTTGGGCTTTGTTTCTGATGATTTACTTTTCTATTTCATGCAGTCAGAGAATTCTATGCTTACAGACAAACACAGGATAGAGAAGGAGGAGAATGCTCAGCTAAGGAATCAGATAGCTCAACTTTTACAGACCGAACAGGAACTGAAGATTCAGATACAGCAACAGAATTCCACCATTCAAAATCTCCAGGTTAGTGCTTTTGAGTTTTTATTTGCTACAGTTGTGAAGTTCTGGTTCAGGACTTTGCCCTTTAGCTTCAGCATCGGTTCTAGGAAAATGCTGCAAAAGGAAACTTCTCTGAGCCAGGGTAGTTGTAACATTCTCTTGTTGTTCAATGATTTTTTCCTGCATAGGATAAAAATAAAGGTTTAGAATCACAACTGAGTGAAGCATCTCGCTCTGATACGACAACGTCAGTAAATGCCTTGGAACCTCAATCCAGAGAGGCAGGGGACACTACAGATTCTTCTTCAGTTACCAAGAAACTTGAGGAAGAACTGAAGAAACGCGATGCCCTGATCGAGGTTCTTGCTTTCACGAGTATATTTTTTTTTTTTCACGAGTACATTTGTCTGAAAAGAGTAATTGGTTCTGCAGAAATTGCATGAAGAAAATGAGAAATTGTTCGACAGATTAACAGAAAGGTCCATGGCTGTTTCTACCCAGGTAATTCTTTGCTCTTATTCAACACTTAGTTTGATTCAGCATTAAATCACTGCCCTTTTACAGCTGTTGGGTAAAAAGTCATTTTCTTTCTCTTTATTCACCTGGAAATATTCTTGCCTCCATCTGCCATTCGCTTAAGCTTCTTATCTTTTTGTATATTGTTTTAGACATCTAGTCCCTTATCAAAAGCCTCCGCAAAGGTTCAACCTTCAGACGTTCAGAGGTGGTTCCTCTGGCATTTTGAAGTTTTCAGTTCCATTTTGTCTTTTCTGTTTTGTCGACCTCATGAATCATCACCTGATTTGTGATGTTTTTCCCTTTTTTTTTCCAGGGGAAATAGTATGACTGAATCATTTTCAACAGATGCAACTGCATTACCGTCTTTACCGGATAAGAATGGTGGTGCTTTAGTAAAAGTGGGCTCTGATATAATAAAATCCACCCCTGCTGGAGAGTACTTGACGGCTGCATTGAATGACTTTGATCCCGAACAATACGAAGGTCTGGCTGCTATTGCTGATGGCTCGAACAAGCTTCTAATGCTGGTACCTGGTTAACTCTTTGTCCTTGTAGTTTGGCTTGGAACTGTTTAGCAATGTGAATTCGTCAAGAAAACGTTATGATCTAATCGTGGATACGTTCTTCGAAAATTCGCAGTTCGGTAATAGTTGTTGACTTGCATTGAGATATATTCCTGTATTTGTCTGGCTTGCAGGTTTTGGCAGCTGTCATCAAGGCGGGTGCTTCCAGAGAGCATGAAATCCTTGCTGAGATTAGAGATGCCGTCTTTTCATTTATCCAGAAGATGGAACCCAGAAGAGTAATGGATACAATGCTTGTTTCTCGAGTCAGAATACTGTACATAAGGTCCTTACTTACCCGATCACCTGAACTTCAGTCCATTAAGGTAACCAGACATAAGATTACTAACCTGTTGTTAGCTTCTGCCTTTTGGTTTTGGACATATGACTATTTCCTTTGTCCGGGAAAGATAAAAATCTATCCTCCTTTTAGGTTTCTCCTGTTGAGTTGTTTCTGGAGAAGCCTGCTGGCCGAAGTAGAAGCTCTAGCAGGGGTAGCAGCCCAGGCAGATCGCCAGTTCGATATGTTAGTGAACCGATTCAAGGCTTCAAGGTGAATATAAAGCCGGAAAAGAAAAACAGGTTGGTGTCAGTGGTTTCAAGAATACGTGGATTTGAGCAGGTAATGATTTGCAGGTTTTCAGTCTGATAATACCCTTTCTTGATTTTTACCTATTTCTTTTCAAGAATTCAATTGCCTGAAATTGTTCCGAATCTTGGTTATGGTTTTCTAGGATGCGATGAGGCAGCAAGTAACGGGAGGAAAACTGAGGGAGATCCAAGATGAAGCGAAAAGTTTCGCGATTGGAAACAAGGCACTGGCTGCGCTGTTTGTTCACACTCCGGCTGGTGAATTGCAGAGAAGGATCAGGTCGTGGCTTGCTGAGAACTTTGAGTTTCTTTCCGTCACAGCAGATGATGCTTCGGGAGGAACCACTGGCCAACTCGAGCTTCTTTCCACGGCAATTATGGATGGTTGGATGTCTGGATTAGGTGCCGCCTTGCCTCCCCACACAGATGCTCTCGGCCAGCTTCTTTCTCAATATGCTAAACGAGTCTATACCTCTCAACTGCAACACCTCAAGGTATGCCTTTTCATTGCTCAAACTGCTGATTCTCACTGAAAATCATTTTATTTCAAAATATTAGGTCTAATATGGAACCTGTTGAATCAGGATATTGTGGGAACATTGGCGACGGAAGAGGCAGAAGATGCTGCTCAAGTAGCGAAGCTTCGATCTGCTCTTGAGTCTGTTGACCACAAAAGAAGAAAGGTGTTTGATCTTATCTCCTGAAATAAATCAAGAAAATCATTGTTTGTTATCACTTCCTGCACTGATTTTTCACTCTTTTTTGTATCAGATTTTGCAACAAATGAGAAGTGATGCAGCCTTACTTGCACTGGAAGAAGGCAGTTCTCCTGTTCAAAATCCTTCTACCGCAGCCGAAGACTCAAGATTGGCGTCTCTCATTTCTCTTGACGGTATACTGAAGCAAGTCAAGGTATTTTCATATCTTACCTCCATATGGAACCACCATGCCATTCTTGCTCGCTCGGTCCTGTATATGGGTTATTTGTTCAGACAACAGCTTTTTTTTTGCATCTTGTAGGATATTACAAGACAAGCCTCTGTGAATGTCCTGAGCAAAAGCAAGAAGAAAGCATTGCTTGCCTCTCTTGATGAGCTCGAAGAACGGATGCCTTCCCTTCTTGATATCGACCAACCATGTGCTCAAAGGGATATTGCTACAGCATCCCAATTGGTCAAGGTAGTGATGTTTCCATTTGCACTTGATGGGTTTGCCTCCATGAAACTCTTGTGTGATATCTTGGAGAGATTGAAGATGGCTGTTAACTTGTTTCTTGCCGATTTTACTCTCTGCTGCAGTCAATTCCCGAACAAGAGGACGATCTTCTGGAACCATCACATGCCAGGAGACTCTCTATAGATTCAATATCCTCTACCGAAACCGATGTATCTCAGTGGAATGTTCTGCAGTTCAATACTGGCTCTACAGCTCCATTCATCGTAAAATGTGGAGCAAACTCAAACTCAGAACTCGTGATCAAAGCAGATGCACGAGTTCAAGAACCTAAGGGAGGCGAAATCATGAGAGTTGTCCCGAGACCTTCAGTTTTAGAGAACATGAGCTTAGAGGAGATGAAACAAGTGTTTGCTCAATTACCCGAAGCTCTTAGCTTGCTTGCCCTAGCCAGGACAGCTGACGGGACAAGAGCTCGGTACTCTAGGCTCTATAGAACTCTGGCCATGAAGGTTCCTTCACTCAGGGACCTTGTCGGGGAGCTTGAAAAGGGAGGGGTGCTCAAAGATGTCAAGTCATGAAATTGCAAAAAAAAAAAGGGTTTCACAGATCACCCAGTATGTGGTGTGGAGTCTTGTTCTGTATGTATTGGTTTTTGTGTTTGTATCTGTTGTTCTCTGTTTGTTGTGCTGTAATGGCTGTATCATGTGCAATACAATGCATTCCCATCTCATTATTCTCTTCAAGAATTTTTCAGACAGAGCAAGATCTCTGGTCTCAATGAAACAGAATCATGGTTTGTAAGGGGAATCTTGTATACCTACCATCTGAATGCAGGCAAAACATATGTTGGGTTCGCATTGTATTTAGAAGCAAGGGACTTGACAGATTCTATGCTTGCAGTTTCTGCAAAGGAACTAAGCCCAAGCTCTTCAATATGAATTCCTCCAGTGATGAATATTGATTGAATTCCAGAAGCATTTGCACCCTTTACATCATGATGAAGGGAATCTCCCACTGCAATGGACTCTGATGCATCAATTCCAGCAATCTCCACAGCTGATTCATATATTATCTGGTGAAAGAAGAATCCACACAATTAGACCAAGCACTATGAATAGGTTTATGCAGAAGAAACCTCACCTTTCCAGGTTTTCCCATCCATTTCACTTCTCCACCGAGTTCTTGATACTTAGCTCCAAGTGTACCTGACAATTTCATTTCAGAGATGATCGAAACGAATTTGCATAATGATCATAACCCAAAAACGTAACACGTATGGTCTTACCTGGCATGATATGAAAAACTCTAGCTTCAACAGTCACGTAATCTGGATTGGCGACAATCATGGGGATCCCTCGAGCAGCAGTTTTCTCCAGAATCTTCTCAAGCTCCTCAAGAGGCATTGGAGATACCGTACCAGAAGGAAGTCCCATGGCCTCGGTGCCATGGACTAAAACAAAGTCAGCTTCTTCCACATTCTCCACAACTTCTAGATCAAGACCCTGAAACAGAGAACTGTATCAATAGAACCTTCAAGATTCCTTCATGAGCTCAAGAAGCAGCATAAATGGACTTAAACAAGATTCAGGTATTGATTTGGAGACAGTGAACAAGCATGCATCAATCAAGCTAACACTTACATCCAAAGAGATTGCTCCTCTGTCCTTCCATGTCATGTGAACACAACGCCGGCCTAGTGCAGCAAACCAAGGATCATCTCTCCTGTGATGAACATTAATCAGCAGAATTTTTCAGTTAACATAAACTGATCTGTATATCAATAGGTTCTGCACTGTTCTTCCAAAATCTTTGAATCAAGAGCATTGCAGAGTCCACCATAAAAACCGAATTTCGTGCAAGTATCAAAAACTGAATCTCTCCGAACGAACTGATATTTGATTCAAGCAAAAAAAGAAATTAGTTCTGTGAGATAGAGAAGAACCTCTGCAAATATTGATAGGTTAGTTCACCACTAGTTATAGCTCCCGTGAAGAGAGACGGATCAAATCCCAAGTTTCTCAACTTTTCCATTGTAAATGAAGCACGTCTCGATGAATTACTTATTACCACCATTTTGGCACCGGTCGTTGCAAGCTTTTCTACTGTCAACCCGACACAACATAGTTAAAAAAAAAAATAAAAAACAGCAAGACTGTGGGTTAAGAAGCACAGCCACACAAAAAGACAGAAGAAACATGAAAATATTCTCCAAGAACTGGGAAAAAAAATTGCAGAAACACATCTATCTTTCACTTGTAGATTCAAGAATCATATCGGAAAGTATTCATCTCTACGTAACAAATCATCTCCAAGTCCAAGTAAAATCTAGCCGATTATAACAATCCACATCCCCACATTACTATAACAGTGAACTCAAGAAGGACTGGTTTCTCAATGTTGACAGATAAGGGAATGACAAAAATGGAAGATGAACACCGTACATGTTGAGATCGCACCAGGGTAAGGTTGCTTGCCATCGTGAAGGACTCCATATTGATCTAAGAACCAGGCCTATGACAAATTTCCAAGAAAATTTTCATCAAACAAAATCCAGAGAAACGTTAACAGTTGAATGCCAAAGTAATCTCTGCATACATTCTTTATTTACAGCCGTCACTCCAAATCTGTATCGATCATTCAAATGTAAGCTATGCCAGCTTGAGGCAGAATACAGGGTATAAAGGGAAAACTCAAAAGTACACTTCTCTATCGTATCTACGTGAAAATCCCAGGAATACTGACAGATGATCCTTCGACAATTGCAAGAAGAGGGAAATCCTACTCTGGGATTAACCAACAGAATTATCTCGGATCCAAAATGAATAAAATTCTTATTTTCCTATAGTAGACGGGGAAAAGGTACATCATTTCGACGAAAAGAACGAAACCCATATATAAACTAGCTCAAGTGAAACGAAAATGATGATTATTACTTTCATTACGTTCATCAAATTGATAAAAGGAACAGCTTTAGATGTTGTCGAACTCTTTTCCAGAGCCAAAAGTCCAGATTCCGATGGAGACAAGAAGTAAAAACAGGCGGATTTACCTTAAAAGGTTGTGTCTCCACGATATCCTTGAGCCCGTTAATGGGCTGAAAGAGCTGCGACGAACAGAGCATTTTCTTCCTGAAACCCAGAGAAAAGAAAGTGGCGAGAAAACTTTCTGAGAAGAACCAGAACCAGAAAAATATCGATGCTGACTATTTTTTTTTTCTATTTTTCTTTGTTTCAATTTCTTTCTCTAGTGTGCGTGATTTAGAGGTGGCATTACCGAGGGTAGGTGAAGAACATTGCAGAGCGCTGAGCCGGTACGACATTACGGTTCGGTTTCTCCTCATCTCCGGTTTGACCTTTGAGTTGGGAAATCAATGGTTAAGATCTTACAGATTTCAGAGAAAACCGGAAAACCTTCAAATAAACCAACTTAGTTTTCTTATGATACCAGGTTGGTATGTTCAGTAATACCAACTCAACCTCAACAAAACGTTAGAGCTGATGTCATTGTTACCACTACTGCTGCTGTCATTGTTACTTACAAACAGGAAGTATAAAACTGGTTCAGTGACCACCAAACAAATAATCCGACAAGTTCTCCAAATGTGAATCTCTCGTGCTGGAAGTGCTGCAAGAGCTCGTGTCCGATGAGCTGAAAAGGGAAGATAAACTGCCACTTGACGAATCCACCCGAGGCATCCTCTGATGAGATCCAGACAACGAAACCTTGCAATCTCTCTGTTTTGTAATGGAGGAGAATAACGGATCATTATCACGGCTCGACGGAATTGCTTCCAAGTTTCTTCTCTCCTTTGACTTCCGACCACGAGAGACTACTACATTCTTGCTCAATGATGCTGGGGGTCTCGGGGAATGCCTGCAAAAGACGGTAATATTCTTGGGATGTGAACAAAAAAACGAAACATCATTCCGTTCTGATTAGTATAAAAGACGACGATGATGCTACCTTGCGTAGAGAAGCATGTATGCTTCTTCTAGCAAGACGGTCTCCAACTCAACATGAGTTACCTGCAAATTCAGTTCCAAGAACATCTCAGATTTCTCAAGGGCAGATCAAGAATCACACAAAAAATCGAAAAAATCATTGAGATGAAAAAAAAAAGAGTATTTTTTGTGAGTTCATGTTTATAATTACAAACATAATGTCAAAACAGAAGCTAAATCGTGAACTTACAGTGCTGTCATCAATCCTGAACCATTCTCCTTGGAGGGTCTTTATGTAACAAACATAGTGGCCTGAATACGCGGTGTTCATGACATCCAAGTGAACCACCACTGCATAAAGACTATACAGAGGCGAGCTGTCATTCGGGCTATTCATGTACGGTGCGATATCCAGAACCTCGGGAAAATATATCCGTTTACTCAGCTTCTCAAAGTTATCAGACTGCACGTATAAGACATGAAAACAAGTTAATATTCTGAATAAGTAACAACAGATGGCAATGACCCTAGTTTCAAAAACTTACTTGAAACCGTTTCAACACAATGGTAAGAATATTGGGTGCCTCTAATATCATCAACTTCTTTTTTGCTTTTTTATATGATTTACATCTGGATGCAAAAGAGATAAAAACAAGGGTCAGTTTTTTAATAGGTAAATACCTCCAATGTTCTAAAACTGAAAGATCTTCAACTACCTGCCACAGTAGTAGCGGTTATTGCCATCTAAGACCTCGTAAGCTGTAAATTGAGTAAGTGCCTCTTCGAGGCTTCCTATGTCACCTTCAATCTCAACCGTCAAATCCATCATTAGCTCAGATCGCTCAGACTTGTGGCGGCAATGCATGCACTTTATCTGAACATAATTTTTGCCATAAAAGTAAGACACAGGATGCAACCAAATTACTTATAAAGGTAGGAACCCGTAGAAATACTGATGTCAGAGCACAAACAATAACGACCTTTGAGTGCAGATATCCGCCAAATGTAAGGCCTATTAAAGTTGTATCTTCTGCAAACTGGTTAGCAGCATCAGCTTCCTTGAGAAAAACAGACTGCATGGTATCAACAGCACACCTGCCATCTTATGAAAGAACATAGTAATTCACCTTTGAGAAAACTTAAAGACAAAAAAGATACAATTCACTAAAACAGAACATATATTGTTCACCTTAGAAATTCATGGGCATCTTCTTGCCTTCCAGGACCAAGATGCTTTGCGATTTTCTGTAATTTGGACAAGATCTTGATAGGTGACAGAGGAGATTCTCCTTCCCTCACCTTTAAAATTAAATGTTGGAACTCACAGACAAAACACCAGCTCTTCTTTCGACCTGTGAAACCAAAGATCGAGATTGAATTCCCCCAGAGAGTAAAGAAAGAGCAGAAGGATGATTTTTGAGTGCAACTTACATGCTTTAGAATGTAAACCCCTAAAAAGGTATGACATAAGTGGCCGAGTGAATGCCAAGCACTGGAGAACAGCATTTGCATAACAACTACAAAAATTTAGATGCAATAAGCCGAAAAATCCATTTTAAACACAAAAACCCATGTATGTACACACAGGGCCAAGAGCCTTCTCCACTCATGAATCTTAGAGGAAGAGAAGACATGCTTCACTAAATACTTTTCCAATCTATTTAATTTGTAACTCCTAAAGAAAATAAAAAGAGAAACATACAATAACATACCTGTTCCCACAGTTCACAAGACCAAACGGGTGTAATTCCACTCCATCACAAAAATAAAGTTTCACAAACGTCTCATATGGAAAGCTCATCTGTGCAAGAATTGGTAAAATAAGAATGGGAGAATATTTATAAAAAAAATATGGCAATTAGTAGCTATAAATCACGGCATAGGACTAATGGTAACCTTGAAATTATATCTTCCAGTAACTTCATCGATGGCACTGGAAGACTGGGGCAACTTTGATGAATTTGAGGCTCTGAAATGCTGTACAACTTTCTGCACTGATGCTTTCAGGCCACTCCGAGCAGCCAGAGATATATATGGCTTATCACCCGATTTTGAAGGTAACAGAGTTTTTGAACCAGTTGAAGCATGAGCAGCAGATAATGAAGAGGGCATCTCTGTAGAACCACCATTTCTTAAAGATTTAGCTTTTCCGTGTTCAAGTACATTCAAATCTCCTTCTTCCTCTTCAAGTAACGAAGATTGATCTAAATTCGACATTTCTAAAGAATCCCCCGATCTAGCTGACTTCCTAGTGCTAAATGTTCGTGGTGGGACATCACTAAAAGCAGCAGCCTTGCCCTTAGAATACATTGTTGCTGAATCAACCTCCTCAGGGCGAGTACGTGTTTTCTGTCTATTCAGTTTTCTTGTCTCAGATAAATTATTCTTGTGACTTAATGAACGAGAGAAATCCATAGCTTTAGAGCTTGCTTGTGTCTGGTCATTAGGCCTACTTCTGGAGATATCACAGTCGACATCAACAGAAGCACCACCATGATTCAGATGGCCATTTTCAGTAGACTCAGCCAGTGATTCATTCCCAGTCCCGTGGGATGGAAAACCCATATTTGTTACTCTTGAATCTGCATTGCAAAGAGCACCAAATAATCACAATTACTAACCAAATGTGAATCTTTAAGACTAAATGTTAAATTAAAACATCTTAAAGATATTACCATCAGATTTAAAAGTCTCCTCCTTTTCAAACTCGCGACCAGAAGGAGGGCAACATTCATCCTTGTGACCTTGTCGCCAGTGAAGAATTTGACACTTGCTAGAACTACAGAAAGACGAACTAAATGCATAAATAAATGATCTTTGAGAGAAAGAACCAGTTAAAATTCAGAGCTTATATGGGTCGACGATTATTGCCTTCTGGGGATTCAATTCAAACTCTAAGTTCTTCTAGACAACCCTACATCCTCGGAACTTTTTTTTGTATCAAACCTAAGAGAGACGAACCAGTAACGAACGGATTTGCACTGAGCGCATCGTGTGGTGGTGGGGTAGAGACAAACAGCGCAACGATGGACTTTTGGAGCAGAGACATACTCGTAGTTTGCAACGGCTCGTACCTCCGCCATGTAAGATTGCTCCGTCGCGAAGGCAACAAGTCGAAAAACCTCCTCCTTCCTCGCCGCGGAGGCTCGCCATTGCCGGCGAACGAGGAGGAAGACGAGCAGCACGAATCCAATAAGGAGAACCTGAAACTCTAGGGTCCCAGGAACCGGCATATCTCAAGAGATTTCCTCACCCAGCGCCCACAATCAGCGGGGCGCAGAGAAACCCTAGGATGGTTATCATAGTAAACATGTATAATGCGGCGGAGACAGAGGAGGAGGCGGATGAAGGCGGCGGAGATGGTGGGAGTAGGACGGAGTACGGAATCTAACGCGGTGGAGAAGATAATGGCAATTAAAGCAGCGGCGAGGAGAGGATTTGGGCATCTGGAGAGATTGGCGAGAGAGAGAGAGAGGAAGTAGAAATGGTGTTGTAGAGAGAGAAAGTGGGGGAAAGGAATAAACGTGCACGCGTTTTGTCGTTTTAGAATTTTTTTTTCCTGGAAAGTTATCTATATATCTTTATATGAAAATATGTCATTCATTTCAACAAGTCGCTTTGGCCGAGTGGTTAAGGCGTGTGCCTGCTAAGTACATGGGGTTTCCCCGCGAGAGTTCGAATCTCTCAGGCGACGATAACTCTTTTTGCTTTTGTTTCTCTCTACTACATTTTCTAAAATCTTAGTATTAGGCCTTATATAGGCCCAATGTAATATGGGCCCATCAACGGCCCAAACGATCAGCCGTTATTTGACTTCGAACTGTCAACTGGACCGACAAAGCTGACGCACTAAATGATCATCATCCATTCACTCGGTCTTATCGAAAACCAAAAACTATCAACCACTTCCCACGCGTCCATATATTCCACGCGCCCTACTTTCTCTTGAACGGCGTCATTTCATTGCGAGTGTTACACACGCGCGAGTAGACAACGCTTTCCCACTTCTCATCTGGTTCCAACCCTTTATTCGCTTTCAATTTCTGCTCCAGCAGGTACATTTTCAAATTCCGTAAAAAATAAAAAAAAAATCTCTCTCCGCCTCCGAATCTCTCCCCAATGGCGGCGACGCTTACTAGAGACCAGTACGTTTACATGGCGAAGCTCGCCGAGCAGGCGGAGCGGTACGAGGAGATGGTTCAGTACATGGAGCAGCTTGTCGCCGGCGCGACTCCTACCGGCGAGCTGACGGTGGAGGAGCGGAACCTACTCTCCGTCGCCTACAAGAACGTGATCGGATCTCTACGCGCGGCTTGGCGAATTGTGTCATCGATCGAGCAGAAGGAAGAGAGCCGTAAGAACGACGAGCACGTTTCGCTCGTCAAGGATTACAGATCTAAGGTCGAGGCTGAGCTCTCCTCCGTCTGCTCCGGCATCCTCAGGCTTCTGGATTCCCATCTGATTCCCTCCGCCGCCGCAAGCGAGTCGAAGGTGTTTTACCTGAAGATGAAAGGGGATTACCATCGCTACATGGCGGAGTTTAAGGTCGGGGATGAGAGGAAAACAGCTGCGGAAGATACGATGCTCGCGTACAAAGCAGCTCAGGTACCTTTGATTCAATTTGATTTCTGATATCGTTACGAATTTCATTTAGTTCTGGGTTATGGGTCACTGTGATTCGTCAGTGAAAAGGGGATTGTGTTGATATACAGTAATCGACTTTGGTTAACCCTGTTTCTGTGATCGTTTCACTTGAAAATGACTTTCGATCTCGTTAACTGGTGCGTTATCTGGATTTCTAAATTGAATATGGTGATAAAATAATCGAATTTGGTTAGCTACTGTACTTATCAAACTGTGATAAACTAGTTTGCGTAATTGTATTTGATCAAGCAACAGTCTTGCCTGTTGATTTATTTTATTTCGAACTCCCTGTCTTGCACAACGCTTCTGTTTCTGATAAATACATAGAACCTTCAAGCCCTATTGCTGGGAAAATGAGGCTTGAATGAACTCCAGAAATAAGCAGATATGTAGTAACAATTTGATTTTTAAAAGTTTGTTTCATTGTTTAAATTTGGCATACATGATTAGAAGATAGATTCACCAAATGATTTGCCTTTCTGTCTGTTGTTTTCTTCTGAAGGACATTGCGCTTGCTGATATGGCACCTACACACCCAATAAGGCTGGGTCTGGCCCTCAACTTCTCTGTCTTCTACTATGAGATTCTGAATTCTTCTGAGAAAGCATGTAGCATGGCCAAACAGGTACACTTCCCTTTCTTTTTCCTGTGGTTCGATTCATCGATGCTGATTCTTGCGTTCCGATTTCTAATGGGTTCTCGTTTATAGGCTTTCGAAGAAGCGATCGCTGAGTTAGACACACTAGGAGAAGAGTCCTACAAAGACAGCACTCTCATCATGCAACTGCTGAGGGACAATCTAACCCTTTGGACCTCCGATATGCAGGTTAGTTTAGCTTCACACACCCTTCATCCCAAATCAAAACAGGGATACTCCCCCTGTCTTCGTACTTGTTTTGTTTCGTCTTCTTACAAGGATGATGACCCTTCATTGTTCTTTTCATCTTATGTTGATGGATCTTGGTCTATGATTGACATCTTCCGCTGGATTGTTGTTGTTCTGTTTGGAATGGTGGGAATAATTGAACTTAAAGCATGATTCTTGGTTAAGCATTGTAGTTTGTGTGCTTGGAGCCTTGGGTTGTGAAGCAGAAGATGAATCTTGGTTAATTGTTGACATTCTTACACAGGAGCAGATGGATGAGGCCTAAGCAGCTACGGGAGAGAGAGGGTTTTGTTCATTCATGTTGCCTCGCCTCCACATGGGACATGAGAGCTCAAAGCCCTAGAGAAAGGAGAAACCTTCTGCTACAAACGTGTTTATGATTTATGTCGCATTTGCGCAGTTTGGTCTTTTGGTGACATGTCTCTCTGTGTTAAACTGAAAACCATACTCTCTTTAATTATTCTCTCTGGTTCGCTCGCTCTCTGTTATATGGCTCAGCAAAATGATGCTGGCGTGGGAGAGAACATGCTGGCGTGGCTTATGATACTGCCGAATTATGATCGTTTACAATTTCGGGTGCGATCACTAGTGTTCTTCTTCGTCCAATAATCGAAATTCGATTCCAAAAACCGAAAACACAGTTTCAAGATCCAAATTTTTTTCCGATGAGGTACAAGTTTCATTAAAGGAAAACAATTTTTTTATAAATTTTATCAATTTTTAAATAAATTTATCAAGTTCCTTCGGTTTATTTATAAAAAAAAAGGGCTTAATGACAAGCATCCATTTTTATTACATATCATAATTCTATGCTTACCCAAATCGATTGTTTTAATATGCATGCATGCCCATTTGACTTTTTTTTTTATACATTGGGATCTCCGGCTGCTACCCTTCGGACGCGCTGACCGAGTAAACCCAAGCACACACGCACGAGCATGCAACACACACGTGGAAGGTAAATCAACCGTAACTGACAGGCGATAGGTGAGCGGATAAGGAGTCGAACCACCAATCTCTCGGTATGTTGATCATGATTCTTTCCAACTCACCTAGGATTTTCCCTACCCATTTGACTTTTATTGACTAACATCCATTTTTATCACTATATATAGCTATTATGTTGGATTTCATATGGCTTTTTTTTTCTCTTTAGATTATTATAGTTTATAGATAAAATTTGGTTACAAGTATTTGGCAAACGGGTGGTAGTTCCGGGTTCGCAATCAATGGCTTGGCATTGCCAACGATGCTTCACTTACAATTCCATATAAAAATTTTATTAAAAAAATGAGGAAAATACGAAGCCGCCTCCTCAAATCATTGCCGAACTAACCTTTACAGTCTAGTCTCTCTATATATAGTCTGTTATATATATTCCACTGTATTTTTTGGTTTATTTTATTATATGTTTTATCCTTATTCTAGAAACATTTAAAATATCTCTTCCACAGCTTATATAAGGTGACCGTGACACCAACGGTAACAACAACTAATATATGTGTGTGTGTATATATATATATATATATATAATACCATGCACATGCATGGACGACGATCACGGGGACTCGTATTTCTTTGATATTTGTCATGTTAGCAGGTGCCAATTTCTGGCCTTATTTTGAAATTAATTAAAAATTAAAGACGATAAAGTAGACAGAAAGACATGCGAAAGTTGGCGAGTGAACTGAACACATGTTAGTTGTCTCCCATCTCCATATCCCTACCATGTTACATACATACATACATACATACATACATACATGTGTATATACTCATTGCATCTCCCTCTAATTATTTTCACGTCCGATCACAGCTAAGCTAAGGATTCATTTGTTCACCTGATTGCCATATTCTTGATTTTTTTTGTTGGTTAAAGCATTTGAGATTTCGCGTTTTACGCGACAATGGAAACTAAACTACCACCGAAATGGAAGTTAAACGGGCTAACTTCCAATGATATTATAATGATTTTTTTAGGAATCCGCATTAATGCGAATTATCCACACGAAATTATTTTCTTGATGATATACGGAATCATATTATTGATTATATACGAAACTATAAGTCTGTTTTTTAGTTATTTGTATTAGCCAATGATTACATACATATATATACGCGAGTGTGTGTGTGTAGAGAAAGATATAGTGTAAATTGTCGATTCAAGAATAAATAATTAACTTATAACCCATTTACCATTATGAGAAAGATAAATGATTAAGAAATTATAATATGAAAAAAGTCAAAACATTTGAAATTTTAAATAGGAAGCGGCCGACGCCAACGGCCAACCCCATGTTCCCATTATGCGTTTCCGTGTTAGTTAGTCCCCAACTTTATTTATATTTTAAAATTTTAGGGGAATCCCAATTATTAAGACGAAAAACTAAAAAAAAACATTTTGAATTACCTTCTTAAACCTACAAATTTATAAATATTATTATTCTAAAATAAAATTACCTACCTCCCTCTCTCCCCTCCCTTTTAATGCCACCATCTCCTCCTCGCTCCTGCAGCTTCGAATCACTATCTCTCTAGACAAGCAGAGTTTTTGTCTCGCTTTCTCTCTCTAAAACCAAAACAAGAAGAAGACAGACGCTTCAACAGACAAGATGAGTTCCAAAATCTTTCAGGTCGCATTGTTAATGGCTCTCTTAGCCACGTCATGCTTCGGTCAAGCCCCCGCTCCAGCTCCCTCTGCCACTTCTCCGCCGCCGGTCGCCACTCCTCCGCCTGACTCCACTCCTCCGCCGGCACCGACCACCGCTCCTCCTCCGGCACCGACCCCCGCCCCAGTCGCCCCTACCCCAGGCCCCGCTACCCCTCCGCCGTCGGCTGCTCCTTCTCCAGCTGATGTCCCCGCCGCGTCCCCACCGAGTCCGTCTGGTCCCGCTCAAAGCCCCGGCGGACCATCCTCCGGCCCCTCCGCCGAAGCCCCATCACCTCCCAACGCGGCTTTCTCCAACAACGCCTTCGCCTACGCCACAGCTTTCGCCGCCGCTCTCTACGCCGTCGTTTTAGCCTGAGACCCTCACGTCCCGTCCCCTACGAGACGAGATCTGTTTTTTGTTTTTCTTTCCTGATTTTGGTTCACGTCTGTGAGATTTGATTTGATTTGATTGATTACTCGTTTCTTTAATTATGATGGGTTTGTGTTTTAATTGGTAATTTCATCTGGTAATTATTTCGGTGGGTGTAATGGGCTGTTGACACGTGTAATATTCGATAGAGGGACCAATGGTTTGTGGTGGGATCTGTTTGTACATCCAATAATATATTATTCATATCATTTAATTATTCTTTTTTTTGTTTCCTAAAGACAAAATTAACTAAGCTTCTTTCCAAATAAATGGATGGATACCACAAATCTCTTATTACAATTTAATCTTTTCATGTAATACGGTTGGAAATGAGATCAATGCCATATGACTTACTCCTCCGTACGATTTGTAATTGATGGTGTGAAAGCGTCTAGTTTGCCTATAAACACAATTTATTATTTTAAAATTAATTTTCACAATAATCGGTTCATAATTTCAGATGAATGTTTAAACTGGGAAAATAGCTGCAATACCCTTTGACTGCTATAAGGACTTCTGATACTACCCTTGAAAAAAAAAATTAAACAAAAAAGACTCTTTCACGTGGCATAAAACACAAAAACCCTCAAATATTTATGAAAAGACCAAAAACCCTTGTGTTAAATTAAAAAAAAAAAAAGAAACGACGGTGAAATAGTAATGTCTCTCTCTTCACTCACATCTTCTCTCTCCTCACTCATATCTCAGCGTTCTCTCTCTCCTCTAACTTACGATTCTCTCTCTCTCCTCACTCATGTCTCAGCACTCTCTATGTCCTCTAATTTACACAAGGAGAAGATTTTCCATTGAGTAAGCCGACGCTCCAAACCCGAGGACAAAAGCAATCACGGTCTACAGGATAGAATAGAACCATAATTTCTGGAGCTGTCATCTTTCAGTTTTCTGAAAGTTTTTAGACTAAAGGTTATAGATGACAGAAGCTAAGCGGTAACAGTTGCATATGTTCGAAACCATGGGAAGAACTCGGTGGTGGGCTTGGTTTGGAGTTCCTGAGCTTTCCGGCAGATCTATGTTGGAGGAGGCGATTCCATGCAAACAGGTAAGAAAGGTGAAGAAGGTGATTCGAGTTCCTCCTCTATACATGAACCTTCTTCTCGCCAATGCACAAAATCTCTTGAAAGAGAAGTATTCAACGTCCTTCCACTGTGACGATGGAATTTGTGAGGAGGATTTCTAATGACTGAATGCATTACGGAGTCCAAGTTTCTAGAAAGGGCTTCTGTCACGTACGGAATATAAATCACATATATTGTAAGATCACATGGTCACACAGTCACATGGTCACATGGTCACACGGTCACACGGTCACATAGTCACACGGTCACATGGTCACACGGTCACACGGTCACATGGTCACACGGTCACATGGTCGCAGTCACATGGTCACACAGTCATAAGGTCATATGACATATGGTTATTTAGGTCACATGGTCCAACATATGAGTATATAAACCATGATTTCGTGGTCAATGGTCACATAGTATGAATCATATGTTCACATGATCACATGGTCACACGGTCACATGGTCACAAGATCACACGGTCACACGGTCACATGGTCACACGGTCATACAGTCACATAGTCGCATGATCATATGGTCACAAGGTTCAGTATTGTAATAACGAGTCATTTTCTTTCAGAGAATAAAAAATATACTATAGACAGGAATGAATGAAGAAGCGTTTTGTTTTTATCTAAAGGAGTATTAGGGAAGTACAAATCAACCTATTATCTCTTTGGTGCAACATCTAGACATGAATCTGGAAAACATGTGTTGAAAAAAGTTTCATGAAGTAGAAATTTATTCCAGAAAATATATAAAACAAAGAATAAAAAGGGTAAAGTTTCGATAGAAAAAAGAAGAAGTAGAAGATGAGTGAGAAGAAGAAGAAGAAAAAAATACCACAACAGTAATAACAACAACAACAATTACAATAACAACAATTATTTGACATTATCATTTTTATGAGTAATTGTGTTTGTTTGGATTTTGTTTATAAAAAATCTGAACTTTTTAATGTTTTACAACAAATTCTGGGTTAAAAATGTTGTAGGTGAAACTCTGGGGTTAAAAATTGGAAGGAAAAAAATATAGGGTTAAGATGAAAATTATAGAGTGTTGAATATTCAAATTGGGCCCCATATTAAAAGCAAAAAATATAAATAATGATTGTGGACCCCATGGAACATAAAAAACTGGTGAAATTCTGACTAGTTCTCCGTGTGGACCCCACGATATATTTCGGTCACAATGGGTCACAGTCGGTCACAACCGGTCACAACATTCGATTCATGTGATTTTTGTTAATTTAATCACTCTACAACGTTACATATGTCCCATAAGTCTATTCTATATTATTTCGAACATTAAAATATGATTTTTACGATTTTTGTGTTTCAATGTTGTTCTTCTAAATGTGTTCCTATATGTTTCATTATGTTTTATGAGTACTTTTGATAAATTTGGTATATTTCATCTATAAACCCCTTAAAATATTTTGAAATTTTTTCACACACGGTATATAATTGATATAGAGACCCTCATAAACCACCCTGAAGCTTAAAAATTAAAATTTGGCCTATATTTATTAACTCATTTCAGTCACGGGTCACAATCGGTCACAATGGTCACACAGTGCAAAATTACACTTCGGTCACATGGTCACATGCCGGTCACAATGGGTCACAACGTTGGCTCATGTGAGTTTATTTATTTAGTGTATAACACGAGTTAAATACATACGAAAATCTATCTTCAATAATATAATATTATTATGGTACAAACACAATATTATATAAAAGTTATAACACTATATTGTTCAAATACATTACAACATCATTAACCAAAAATCTTTGATATTACTGTACAAATGTTTTGTAACACGTTATAATACAAATACACCACGCAATTATTATACAAATTTGTGGTGCTCCTTTTTCACTCCAAATTAGTCACTCTCTCTAACATTGTCGATGTTGATGTTCTCTCCGACATTGTCAATGTTAATGTTTCTGCTGTATAATTGATTCTCTTCTGTGCTTCACCAGAACCAGGATATCGATTTTATTTAAACCTCTCACATTTCTGTTTTTCATCCACTATAGGAGGCATAACCATAAAATTTACAATTTTGGGTCATCGATAATCTATTCACGGCAATCGGGGATCGGATACACAGTTTTTTGATAAGTAAGACGCCATGTCTCTCACGTATAATATGGAGAACACAAGTCTGGTATAACATTCGCTCTACTAACCTTATGAAGTGTTGCAATTGTGTGACTGCATGAGATCTCGTCGATATCAAACACCCTGCAACTACAGGTTCTTTCTTCGATACTACCAAAGTGTTTTCTATCATTTTCACCCTTTACCTCAAACTCCTCTCTAACAATGTTCGGCACAATGACCTCATATGTACATACAGTCTCATACCTTTCATGTAACAATCTGATTATTCTGAAATACGTGACCATTATTACCAATCTGACTGTTCTGAAATATGTGACCATGTGACATTGTGACCATGTGACCTTGTGACTGTTGTGACCCATATGATCCGTTGTCCTAATGACCTGTGAACCATATGACCCTGTAACCGTATGACCACGTGATCATGTGACTCGTAATTTATATCTATAGTGTCATGTATGAGTGTTTTGCACATTGTGACCCGTATGAGTGTTGTGCACATTGTGATCATTGTGGCATATATATCCATGCAAATTCGATAAAGATTTGTTACTACAAACGATAGAACTATAGAAAAAACAACAAATGGAAGAAAAGAACCGTAAGAACCATCAATGTGCATGAAAAAACCGGAATTTCGACATAAGCTTACTTATTTTCACTTTTCTCATTGATTTTGCTTGATTTTCTCGTGATTTTGTCCGGATTCTGTGGATTTTGAAGATAAAATAACAAGATGGGGAAGAGAGAAAAAATACTGTAGAGAGAGGGAGAGCTCCATCGACAATGGTGAAAAGAGGAGAGAGAAAATGGTTTGTGTGAGGAAAGAGAAAACCAAGAAAAATAGAATTTTTTATTTTTTTTTATTTATATCTAAAGGGTATTTTTGTAAATTGTGAATTAAGAGGGTAAATTGGAAGTTGGAATTTTTTTTTTCTAACGCAAGGGTAGCACTAGAAGTGCTTGTAGCACATTGAGGGTAAAATGGAAGTTGCCCCGTTTAAACTTGTTCGGCCCATTAGGGCCCCTATTATGTTAAATTGTTTCACCCAATTTGTGGGTTGGATCTTTTCCACACGCGGTTATGAAGTGACTGAGAATTTAAATTAATATCCAAATAAATATTAATTATATCATTATGGTCCCATTAGCCTTAAGTTCATTAAATATTGAATTTACTTTCAATATCTAACATTTTAATATCGAGATTAAATAAAACTATTGTTATTTCGATCGGATATTAAAAAGTCAGACCAAAAGTTTATTAGATATCAAATTAATGTTTAATTAGGATCGTAAAATAAATTAAGATACCATCTGATAGCGTCAGATAATTCAACAATTTCTTTATTTCGATATATACAAAACACATGAGAAATGACTACGAAATTTTATACAAGCAAATCGATAATCCCCACATTGATTATATACACAACTCACAAACCAAAATCCAAACCGTTGACACCGACTCAAAACCGGGCCGGTTTTCTGTTCAATTTGGACCGGTTCACGAGCCACATATTTATATCTCACGAGCATTTTATTTCACTTTCCCCTTATGGCATTACCCTTCAATCCCCTGACGACGCCCCAAAAATCTTCCACCAAAACTCTGTACCGCCAAGGAAACTCAGTCAACGTTCCCGTTGACTTTTCAAGCCTCACCAAAACCGGGCCCAATGCGTCCGACTCGGAAAAACCAACGCCCGGTTTAGACAACCTCTCGTTCAACACTTCAAGCCGTACCATAACCCATCGCATTACCGAGAAATAGTCTTGGGCCACGAGTTCTCTGATCTCGTCCACGATCTTGTTTCGGTATAGCGCCGGATTTTCTGGTCTTTGACGTATATGTTCGAAGAAACTCACGAGATAACCGGTTTGTTCGATTATGTGACCGGTTTTGTAACACGATACACGATGTTTCTCCACGGCCTTGTCTTTCGAGTAAGCTGTAATGCTCGGGAAAAACCCTAGAACTCTGCATGTCGACGAGAGGCAATCCAGATATTTCGCATACCTGCATATACATATGTATATACATATATATCGATTTCCAAATCTGTATCAACAAATTCTCATCATTGATGGAGTCTTCTTAAATACATTAACACCATTTTTTTTACTAAGGGAAACACGAAGAGGTGAAAAAGGGTACTCACCATCTAATCCATGGAGACAACTCGAGGGTCAGATGAGAAGATTCATCACGAAAATTGTTGAGTTTGAGATTGTTTCTTCCTTCCGTGAAAAATAGATGATGACCCTGTATATAGATTTCTCCATTAAACCCGTGTTCGGGTTTGATAAGTTTGTGGAGGACGATGAGTGATTGGCCGTACCGACGGCTGCCGGAATAGGACACGACGGCGGCGACGTAGTCATCGTCCGGTGGGTTGTCGTAGTTGTGATTGGTGGATTTCAAAAGGGCTAAGTGAAGAGACTTTGTGTTCGGCCGGAAGGCATGAACGGCGACGGCTTTTCCTTCTGAAGCCCTGTCTTTGAATTTTCCCAATAGCCTTTTGAGTTTCGTCATCCGTACCGACGGCTGCCGGAATAGGACACGACGGCGGCGACGTAGTCATCGTCCGGTGGGTTGTCGTAGTTGTGATTGGTGGATTTCAAAAGGGCTAAGTGAAGAGACTTTGTGTTCGGCCGGAAGGCATGAACGGCGACGGCTTTTCCTTCTGAAGCCCTGTCTTTGAATTTTCCCAATAGCCTTTTGAGTTTCGTCATTCTTTAGTGAAAGATCTGAATTAGGCGTCATTCCGATTTTTGTAAGTATATAATATGCATTTATCTAATAATGTTGTATTCAGTGTCATTAGATTACGACAAGAATATATACTTGTTCTCGGCCGTGTCCCAACCTCTCCCGTCTCCACACCAAATATAAAATATTCTTCAAAATGCGCATTAGACATTCCTTGCATGACTTTTTCCGGTCAAATCACATACTTCTCGCACGGGGCATACTCAGATATCAGACCTTATTGTAAAGACAAGAATATTCACTTGGGCTTATTATAATCATCAACAAGCCCATCATCTTTTTTTATTTCAACATTAATAAATTTGGCCCAACAATTTCCCAAGTACAAGATCCAGCTCCATTCTACCGTCCCCCTAAAACGGCGTCGTCCATTATTTCCACGTCAGCATTAGCTCGCGGCAGCTGGGATTGATCATTGGTTAGTTCGTATATCACGCGGATAGCTATTTTTAAGGAAGTTCCTAACCGTTGATTGGGGAATGAATCTAACGGACAGAAACAGATGATAATACAATGAAATCATTCGAAATTCCGACCTGCTCGTGTATAAATCCTACCCAGCA